CAACGGATAATATACGTATTGACGCAGAGTCACGCTACGGTCGCTTGGGCCGACATTGTTCCTTGATCCAAGATGGTTACGGACACTCTTGAGCCGTCTTGGGCCCCTTTTGGCCATATTTGGGGTCTCTGCGGATTCTCTTGGAACCATCTCGGGCCGTCATGGAGGCCTCTTGGGCTGGGGACCTCTTGGGACTTCTTGGGACGCTTTGCTCGCATTGAACTTCGAAATGGTGAGAAACCTGAAATCCATATGACACCTGGGCAAGTCAATGGAGTCGGGCTGTCGGGAACCTCCGCAGCGTGTCCTCGAACCTCTCTCAGGGCCTCTGGTAGGGAGCCCACGAAGGACGTACGCGCCCAGCCATGTACATGAACACGGCCCCTCGATTCGCGAGACCGGCCGCGTGATACGAACATTTGTGCAATGCGTGCTCTCGAAACCAGCGTGGATTCATGTACATGTACGTCCTTCTTTCGCTCCTGATCTGGGGAGCCCGCTCCAGCCTCCTCGTGGGCTTCCTGGGGCTGTCGTTGCCTGCTTGGAGGCACGCCGCAGCTCCGCAGCCCCCCCAAAGCGATCCCGGTGACGCCCTTCCGAGCCCAGGAGCGCACCCAAACGGCCCCAGGGCACCCGCGGAGGGCCCGGCACCCCGTGGAGGGTGAAGCCTGCTGGCTCGGAGCACTGGGCCAGGTCGCCAGATGCGTGTGTGTATGTGTATGTATATGTATGTGTGTGTATGTATGTGTGTGTATGTACGTATGCATGCATGTGTGTATGTGTATGTCTGTATGGATGTATGTGTGGATGCATGTATCTATGTATGCGTGTGCGTAGGTATGTATGTGTATGTTTGTATGTATGTGTCTGGATGTAGTGTATGAAGGCCTGTGTATATATATATATATGTGCAAATATGTATGTATGTATGTGTGTATGTATGTATGTGTGTATGTGTGTATGTATGTATGTATGTATGTATGTGCGTATGTTTGTATGTATACATGTATGTGTGTATGTATGACTGAATGTATGTGGTATGTATGTATGTATGTATGAGTATATATATGACTGTGTGTATGCACGTATGTATGTATTCATGCCTGTGTGTATGCATGTATGCATGTATGTGTGTATGTATGTATGTGTGTATGTATGCATGTATGTATGTGTGTGTTTGTATGTGTGCATGTATGTATGTGAATATGTATGCATGTATGTATGCGTGTGTGTATGTATGTATGTGTATGAGCGAATGTATGTGTGTATGTATGTATGTATGCATGTTTGTGTGCCTGTATCGATGTATGTATGTGTGTATGTGTATGTATGTATGAATGCATGCATCTGTGTATGCATGTATGCATGTGTGTAGATGTATGCAAGTATGTATGTATGTGTGTATGTATGTGTGTACCTATGTGTGTATGTATGCATGTGTATGTATGTATGCATGTGTATGTATGTACGTGTGTATCTATGTGTATACGTATTTACGTGTGCATGTGTATGTGTGTAGGTCTGCATGGACGTGAGTGTATGTATGTATGTGTGTATGTATGTGTGTATGTATGTCTGTGTGTATGTATGTATGTGAGTGTACGTGTGTATGTAGGCATGTGCGTATGTATACATGTATATGTATGTATGTATGTGTGTGTGTGTATGCATGCATGTCTGAATGTAAAGGTGTATGTGTGTAAGTCTGTATGCATGCATGTGTGTATGTACGTATGATGGTGTAAGTGTATGTATGCATATATATATGTATAGATATGTGTATGAATGTATGCGTGTCTGTGTTATGTATGTATGTGTGTATATATGTATGTGTGTATGTATGTATGCATGTGCGTATGTCTGTATATGTGTGCATGTATGGAGGTGTGTATGTATATATGTATGTACGTCTGTATGTGTGTATGTAAGTAGTTTTGTGTGCATGTATGTACGTATGCATGTATGGGTGTATGTATGTATGCATGTATGTGTGTATGTAGTAATGTATGTATGTACATATGTGTGTATGTATATGTGCGTACGGATGTTTGTTTGCATGTATGTGTGGGGGTATGTATTCATGTGTGTATCGATGTGTGTATGTGTGCATGTATGTGTGTATGGATGCACGTATGTGTGTATGAATGTATGTATGCAGGCATGCATGTATGTATGTATGTATGCGTAGATGTATGGTTGTATTAACAAATGTATGGATGCGTGTATGCGCGTATGTGTGTAAGTATGTATGTGTATGCATGTATGTATGTATGTACGTATTTGACGTATGTATGTATGTGTGCATGCACGCGTGCATGTATGTATGTATGTGTGTACGTACGTATGTCTAAAAGTCTGTATGCGTGTATGTGTGTGTATGTATGTGTGCGTGTATGTGTGTGTACGTATGCATGTGTGTGCATGTATGTATGTATGTTATGCTGGCATGTATGTATAGATGCACGTGTATGAATGGATGTGTGTATGCATGTATGTGTGCATGTATGTGTGAACATGTATGAACGTATATGTATGTATGTGTGGCTGTGTATGAATGTGTGTATGCATGTATGTATGTGTGTGTGAATGTATGTACGTATGTATGTGTGTATGTATGTATGCATGTATGTATGTGTGTATGTATGTGCTTGTATGTAGGTATGTAGATGTATGTGTATGCATGTATGTGTGTATGTATGCATATATGTGTGTATGTATGTATGGATGTGTGTATGTATGGTTGTATGTGTGTATGTATGTATGTGTGCATGCATGTATGTATGCATGAATGTATGTGTGTATGCATGTATGCATGTATGCATGTATGCATGTATGTATGTGTGTATGTATGTATGTATGTATGCATATATGTATGTATGTGTGTATGCATGTATGTATGTATGTGTGTATGTATGGTTGTGTGTAAGCATATGTATGTGTATGCATGTTTTGTATGCATGCATGGATGTATGAATGCGTACATGCATGTATGGATGTACGTATGTTTGTATACATGCATGTTTGCATGTATGTATGTATGTATGTATTTATCTGTGAGAAGGCATGTGTGTACGTATGTGTTGTGTTTTTGTATATGCATCGGTGTATGCGTATCTATGTGTTATGTTTCTGTATACGTGTTTATGTGTATGTGTATGTGTATGTGTAGGTGTATGTGCGTGCTCGTGTAAAAATGCATGTGTGTGAATGTGTGTGCGTACTACGTTTATGTGTGCGTGTGCTGCACATATAAATACACACGCGCATGTAATGTACATAAGCAGATGCGTATCATCTAAATTCGATGTTCCCCAAGCAGTGTTTGCACTGAAGGGTTCTGGCTCCTCTTCTAAGGAATTGGGCCCGACGGTCGCCGTCGCCGCCCCGTAACCTCCTCGTCGCCGCCAGTCGTTGCACGTCGGGGCTCCAGAGCGCTCGACCCGACCTTAGCGATGGATGCCCCAAGCCTTGTCCGAATATGGGTCCCCAGGTCCGACCCTTTCCCTGGGGGCCAGTTTCTCGTCCCGAGCCGTTTCGTGGCGGTCCCGAGGTCTGGTACGGGTCCTGAGAGGCCGAAAATAAGGAACAACCTTCCGTCGTGATTGTTTCATGGCTCGAGGGGGTCTGGGTACTGCGAGCCCGGATCTGAAAGCCCCCAGGTCCGAATCAGGCACAAGCGAGCCGAGGCTCGGAGGGGTCGCTCCGTCAACCACCTCCGAGTGGCGCCGTGGGTCGGGGAGGGGCTGCTGGGCGGCAGGGGGGGGCGGCCTGCTCACTGCCCGCCCCACTGCCAAAACAAGATCCTGGGAAAAGCGCAGCTCGGGACACAGGGACACACAGCACAAATAGATGGGGCCCAGGGACACACAAACACAGAAACACGAATCCCAGGAGTCACCCGGTGTTCCACATGTTTTTCTGGGTTGTCGTCTTCCCCCCACTTCCCGTATGTTCCCCCGTTCTCCTGGGGATCGACAATTCCTTGTGTCTGTGTGTGTTTCTTCCCCTCTTCCATCTTCGAGGAGGGGCGGCCTGGGTCAGCGGGTCCATCACGCAAAGACTCTCCTCCTCCTCCTCCTCCGCCTCCTCCTCTTGAGTCTTATGCAGCTCTCCATCTTCGAGGTCATGCACGCGGGCCAGCGGGGTCTCCCGGGAGTCCCCACGCCCGCCCACTCTGCTGCCTGCTGCCCGCTTCCCCCTCGCGACGCGGCGAGGCACGGTGCGGGAGGACGGGCTGTGGACCGTCCGGAGCCACCGAGCCGCCCCATAAGCAAGGCCAGGATAATGCTGCTCCGGTCGTACTTGAGGACCGCATCCCCAAAATGAGTTCGAGCACTCAGAACAGTAGCGGACCAGTGTCGAAAGAGCGTCACCTCCCAGGGCCCGACGCGTGAAAACCCTGGAGTTTCGGTGCGTGCTTGGTGCTCGAAGCTCTTTTTGGTGATCAAGGCTCAAATGCGTTGGAACATCGTGAGGCCAGGACTGGGAAGGCGACCGAGACTGCCGGCGGACGGCACCGCATTCCCCTGGAGAGGTAGTGCCACCCTTGCTTCAGCTTCTTGCTCCCCCCCCGCCCCCCCGCCCCTGGAACCCCGATCTCGGTGCCGAGTCCGCCGCGGCCGACTGACACTGGAGTGGAGGGGGGCGGGGAGGCGGGCCGCGAGAGTCGCACCACTTCTCGCGATCCCCCCTGGGTGACACGAATGCTCGGCAGTCGGATCAAAGTTTTGGGCACCGGAAGAGCATTGGCTCCGCAGTGCAGGTGACGCTGGCCGCGCAGCCTGCGCGTCCTGCCGCAGGCCGAGGCCGCGGGCGGGGCCAAGGGGCAAGGCAGACACACAGCCCGCTGCTGGCCTGCTCGGGACCACGCTCAGAGGGTGCGGCGCGGAAACGGAACAAAACTCTCGCCGAACGGTTCGGTAAGTTCGTGCGGCGCTGGCGCGCGCAATGACCTCGACACCGCTTCGACAGTTCGGCCTCGAATCGATCGCGGCCGCGATCGTTCAAGATTGAGTTCCCCCAGGCTCAGTGGTTTCACCGCGGCCCCCGGTGCTTCCGCGTCGCAGAATTCAACCTTGCACGCCTTCGCCAGCGTCGCCGCCGTGCCATCGCCGCTTAAACCTACCACAGGTGCAGGGGCGGGGGAACGGACGGCAAGAAGGATGATGCACCAGCAAACCACGAGGCGGCTAATGCGCCTGCTGCGACCAGTTCCTAGCATAGAGAAACAAACAGAGGCAGTAACATTAACTGTTGACGGTCCGCGCGGATTTCTTGGATCTGAGCTGGATCCCCCTTCCTGGCGCGCGGAGCGCGCCAGGGGCGGCGCTGGAGGCGCCGCCAGCAGGGGCCTAGAGCAGGTCCAAGAAACCCGCGCGGAGCGCCAACAGTTTATGCCTACGCCTGTCTTGTTTTTCGAGAGAAGGCGACCTGTACATCAGAGCCCGCTTGCGGCACTCGGCAGCCCCTCCTACATCGAGAGTGCGGTCCACTTCTTACGTGCGTGAGGGTGCCGTGCCTCGGCCGCTCCGAGCGCTCCCGCGGGACGGCGGCCCGACTCAAGCGCTCTTCGGGGCTATGGGCGTCGCCTCGCTAGGCTTCTTGGCGCCCGTCGGCGCCTGGAGCGGCTCCCCTGGGAAGGGCCAAGCACCAACCCCGAGCATCTTCTCGAAGGCCCGGACCAGCTTGGACCCCGGGTCGATCTTCATGTAGGACCAGAAGAACACCCCGCTGAGCGTCACCATGAACGCGAGCCACTGCTGCTTCTGGATGGTGTCGTGGAACACCGCGGAGGAGAAGCAGACCAGAACGACGTCCTTGACCATGCCGGTGATCATGAAGCCGACGGCGGAGGTCTCCTTGATCACCTGCGCGATGGTGATGTTGAGGCAGACCGCGAGGCACGCATTCGGGATCAAGAGGTACCACATCGCGGCCGTGTCGGTCAGAATCTCGTTGCTCCACGTGACGGTGGCGCCAACGACGAGCACCACCAGGCACACGGGCGAGATGAAGAAGGCGTAGCTAAGCGAGTCCAGCTTGTAGTCGTTACCGGTGAGGACCAGCTCCGCGATGACGGCGCGGCAGCACTCCGCGAACTGCGAGACGAGCTGCAGGATGAAGCCTGTCAGGGCGAAGTGCAGCTCGCCAGAGACACACAATGTCGACCCCGAGATTACCCAGAGGATGACGAACATGCGCTGCCTGTTGATGGTCTGCAAGCCCGCCAGGGCCGAGAAGAGGAACACGAGCACAACGTTAGTCTCCTTCATGAACTGCAAGAACGCCACGCTGCAGTACATGTACGCCTTGTTTGATCCGTACAGCATCACGGCGAAGAAGCAGCCGATGGGAATCAGGTACTTGTAGAGGTCAGACAGCCTGCCCCTGCACTTCTCGACGCTCGGCATCATGGACGGTTTCACCAGCAGAATGATGGAAGTGAGCACGAAACTGGTGAACATGTGGATGGCCGTGAGCGCCATCGGGTGAGGGAACCGCCCCTCATGCACCAAGTACTTGTTGAAATTGATCAGCCCTCCACTGAGAACGATGTACATCAGGCAGAAGAAACCGATCCTGCAATAGCTGAGCATTGTGCTGGACCCGTTCCCAATCTCGGACACCATCGCCCGGTAAAGTAAGTGAAGAAATGTAGTTGGTACCCACCGGATGTGACACAGTGCAGGTGTGCAGCTGGCGCCACGCGCCTACTGCTTCACCTTGAGCCAACATGTTTTCGGAGTGTGACTGCGCCCTCTTTGCAACAACGTCCGGGCTCCCAATGAGACACGAACTGCCATGAGAGACACGGCGGGCAATGAGAGGTGGCCTGAGACATCGATCAGCGGTGCGACGGCGCAGTCCCCGGAGACGTGCTGTATGGCTCTCCCTGAGGAATGGCGTGCGCGAAGATGGCCCAGAACGGTCTGGCCACAGCATGCAGGACAACACGAGACTGCACCTGCCGGGAGGGAGCCCGTGTGCAACGATGACAGAGCTGGCGGCGCGTGTCTGCCGGTTATGCTTGACCCTGACTGGGGCCAATAATTGCGGCTTCGCTCCCGCAGAAGGCGGTCACCTCACCGCGAGCGTAGCCCGCCTTTGTAGTGCTTGGCCCGTCGATTGCGACCCATCGGAGCGCCCGAGGAACAACGCGTCTGTGTAGGCTCCGCAGTTGCTTGGGTATGCAATGCAATGCAGAGATCCGAGACGGGGAATTACTGAGCTCAATGTGCAGATGCATATGGTCACGCTCACACTCTGGCTTTGTAACGCCGCTCTGCTCTCACAATCATGGGCCGCTGCCGCGATTAAGGATATGAGGCAAGCCCAGCATGGAGATAAACCCACCAGCCCTATGGGCGTAGGAGGTCTAAAGAGTTCTTACTTTCCTCTTCCAAAGCCCTCTTCCCTTCGGGGAGGGGTACCCTCCCCCCTCTCCCTGTAGTTTTTGGGCGTATGCCGCGATGTGCCAGAGGGTCTTCTGTTGCCCAAGATAGCAAGCAACCAGCGACCTACAGAGCAGAGGGGGAGGAGGAGGAGGAGGAGGAGGAGAAGGAGGAGGAGGAGGAGGACGGACGAGGAGGAGGAGGAGGAGGAGAAGGAGGAAGAGGAAGAGGAGGAAGAGAGGGAGGAGGAGGAGGAGGAAGAGGAGGAGGAGGAGGAAGAGGAGGAGGAGGATGTGCGTCTCAGGTTTACACACGCTCAGTGATGACTTGAAGGCTGGTTGCGATTGCTCGGATGGTTTCGTGTCATCCTCCATCCAGTGGCCATCAGCCATGTGCCGTGACATCTCTGACGGTCTATGTGTACATGCTGCTCGTTCGGCCCCAAGTTGTCCGTTCGGCCAGTTCACACCACCTGAGTCAGTGCGTGCTCCCCTGTACATTCCTATGGACCCCTACGTGGGTTAGTCGGGAGCGCCACTGACAGTGGCGAGGAGGCCTGCCCCCGCGCCCTCTCTACTTGTCTCTCTCTCTCTCTCTCTCTGTCTCTCTTTTGTTGCATGTGCTGTCCGCGGATCACCACAGACTTCATGTCTTGCAGGGCTGTGCGCAGGAGGAGGAGGATGAAGAGGAGGAAGAGCAGGAGGAGGACGGAGGAGGAGGAGGTGGAGGAGGAGGAGGAGGAGGGGGATGAGGAGGAGGAGGAGGAGGAGGAGGGGGAGGAGGAGGAGAAGAGGGGGGGGGGGGGCTCCCCTGCCTCTTTTTTTTTTTCTCTCTCTCTCTCTCTCTCTCTCTCTCTCCCCCCCGCACCTCCCCGGGGGGGCCTGCGCCAGGAGCCCAGCCGCGCCCCACGCCGCCGCCGCGGTGCCCGGGCCGGCCCCGCGCGCCCCCCGCACGCCGCCGCGAGCGGCCGGTCTCTCGAGCCCGTCCGCCGGGCGGCGCTCGCCGAGGAGCCTGCAGCGGGGGGGGGGGGGGGGGCGGGAGGAGAGGGGAGGAGGAGGAGGAGGAGGAGGAGGAGGAGGAGGAGGATGAGGGAGGAGGAGGAGGAGGAGGAGGAGGAGGAGGAGGAGGAGGAGGAGGAGGAGGAGGGAGGAGGAGGAGGAGGAGGAGGAGGAGGAGGGGGGGACAGAGCAAGACCATGGGACGCACAGAGCAAAACCATGGGACGCACAGAGCCGTACTAGCACTATAAGTTCTCCTTGGAGGGCGCGCGTCCGGCCCGAGCATATAGTATAACCCATCTTGTAGCGTATCCCTGCCCAGGCGAGGTGGCCAGAAAGCGCCCGCCGCGACACGTATACTAGAAGATTTCTCGGTGCCCGCGTCGCCCCTGGGGGGGCAACGCACATATGGTATACGTATGTTGGGGTGACAGAGCAAGACAAGGCACCCTCGAATACAATCTGTAGGCGAACGCAGAAAAGTCATAAACATAAAAAACACGGAGGTCCGCGCGGGTTTCTCAGATCGGCGCTGGACCCCCCTGTCGGCGCCTCCGGCGCCGCCCCTAGCGCGCTCCGCGCGCCAGGGAGGGGGGGGTCCAGCGCCGACCCGAGAAATCCGCACGGACCTCCGAGTTTTTATTTTTGTATTATTCTTCATTCCCCTAAACTGTGCAACAGCACCTGAAACGCAAAGACCAGAACCTGCTCACGGCATGCACCCTGCAGAACGGCTGGATCTGGGTGGCCTGCAATTGGCGATCTACTCCGCTCCATCGCCCGGGGGGGTAAGGGGGGAGGAGGAAGAGTGAACGAATGCATGCGCTTCGTGGTCCAGCGTGCCTCTGATGGCAAGCTGTGCGCGACGATGCGTGCTGCACCGTCGAGCGGGCGAAGACGTGCTACAAATCGGAAGGAGGAGGACGACGAGGTCTAATACTACGATGTTCCAACCAATTTTAGCCTCGATCACCAGAAAGACTTTCGAGCACCAAAAAAATACCGGAACTTGAAGGACTGCGCGTGTCGGGCCCTGAGAGGCACTCGTCCGACTCTGTTTCGACACTTTTTTTTTCTTAGACTTCGGCTCGAGTCCATGGACTGCCTGTGCTATACCTCTCCGGAGACAGATTGGCGGCGCTGTGTGCTATGTAAAACTGTTGGAACCACAAGGGAAGGGGAGGAGAGGGCCGGCAGAGGAGGAGGAAAAGAAGGCGTTCAGAAGAGCTCTCAGACCCGTATCCAAGGCGACGATCTCGGCCTCGAAGGCGGTCTTGCAGCTTTGGAGGTATGCGCCCCCGGTAGCCATTAGGGCGCCGCTCTCGTCATTCATGCCCAGGAGAACGTATGCAGAGGCTCCGATGCCAGACGAGAACCCGCCGTCGCAGCAGAACATCAGACGCGATGGGTTGCTCTGGACGGACGAAACCTCCTGCCAGGACCACGAGACCTTGCTCTCGAGGACGTGGTTTGCAATGTGGTCGGCTACATTGTTATGACGGCGCGGCTGCCACTGCACGATGTTGGCTGTCGTGGTTTGAGGCCCCCAACCACGCCCTGAGAGAGCAGCCAGGTTGCGGAGAATCCGCGCAAAAGCCGGACGGTATGAGTCATCCGTCAGCACCGCGTGTCCGTTGACCACATCGGCAACGGTTTGGTTATCGACCCGGATCACGATTCGTCGCCCACCGTGGTCCCAATGTTCATCAGTAGGGTGCCGGCACAAAGAGGGGATGTTGTCCATCGTGTGGGCAGTGCGTTCTTCTCTAAGCCACTTTGCACCTGGACCAGCGGGATGGTTGGGGGAGATGCCAGGCTGCGCACAAGGTCTCCGCAAACTTCCTGAAGTGCTTCATCCAGTCATTGAGGGTGTCGCAGGTGCGCAGCATACTCCGCCAATGCAAACCGAAAGCGACGCAGAACGGGGCATCCCAATGGGATCGCACTGCGCCGCGGGATCCGTGCACCAATCCTTCTCGCCGTCGCTGGCTTACAGAACTCATGGAGCGGAGGGTCTGCCATTCGAGCGCGTCGCAGAATCGCCGCGCCATGGCAAGCTGGCTACTGTGTCGAGAATGATCCAACCATGCGGTTTTGAAGACAGCTTTCAGAACACGTATGTGCAGAGGTTCAACGGAACATTTTTCGAACCATCGGTGTATTTAGGCAGCGGTTCGTTGCAGGTAGCTCGCCTGCCCTTCTTCTGGCCTCCGTCTCAACTTCAACATGCGACGTACGTGCTCCAATTCCCATGATCGGACACGACGTAGCACCGTTTGGTTAAGATGCCATGTCGAAGAACCAAATGCTGCAGAAGTCGAAGGTGCTCGACGCCATGCTTGAAGTTTTTTTTTTCATAGTGGCCTTGGAAACGAAGATGTGGCGATGCTTGTAGAAGAGCCCTGCTGCGGCCGATAGTCGATGTTCCATGCTCGTGGTTGTCGCGCCGACGCTGTCGACGCAAGTTCCGAGCACTGGCATGCTCCCGGCGTTCTCATAGACAAGCCGGCATCCATGTTGATGAACAGCCAAAGGAGGATCAAAGGGCCGGCTTCCGGCCGACATGTACTGCAAGGAAGATTGTTTCCAGCGTAAATCATGCGTACCCAGTGCGTCTGTTAGCTCCTGTGTCATAGTGCGGATGCCGGACTCCCGTGAAGAGAACAAAAATATGTTGTCCGCCCAGATTGCGTGAGTGTATTCCTCCTCCCCCAGGTGGAAGCCGAAACCCCGACTACGCCAAGACGGAATGAGAGGCTCCATGCAAAATTCGATGAGAGAATTCCACACATCTGGCGTCTCCACCGCCCCTTGTTTGCCTCCACGGGTGTAAGGGAACATCTTGGTAACTCCAGCACTCGGGATTTCCAAAACAGCAGATACGCCAGTGAGCTCGCGCATGAGAATGGCCACGCTGCCCGCTTGCAGCCCCTGGGCGGTCAAGGCTGTAGGCATGGAGCTGTGCTTCATTGAATCGAAGGCAACGGCTACGTCTTGAGCAGCACAGTGCAGCGACAAGCCCCAGACGTCTGCTAAAAAGAACAATTGTTGGACCAACCCGGGTCTGTTCGACACTGCTTCGACACTCTTTTGACACTCCTCCGGGTGCTCGAAATGATTTCTGGGATGCGGTCCTGAAGCAGGATGGGAACAGCATAAGCCTTAAACACGTGTCCTCTGCCCAGTGGCCAGGCCCCTGCTGGGACTTGGCCGGGGAGCGGTGCCTGCGCCCTCCTGCCCGGGCCGGGGAGGCACGCGCACCGCTCCCCGTGGTCCAGGAGGGGCCGTGGCCAGGGGCAGAGGCCAGGCGCGGACCTCGTCGCCAGAGCGATGGAGATCCGCCGCCCGTGCGAACAAGAAACACACACACACACACACACTGTAGGAACAAAAACACACACTATGGGAAAAAACACACATACAAACACACAAAACATACACACACTGTGCGTGTGTGTGTGTGTGTGTGTGTGTGTGTGTGTGTGTGTGTGTGTGTGTGTGTGTTTCCCCACACACACACACTGTGTGTGTTTTTGTTGTCCCACAGTGTGTTTTTGTGCCAGGAGGGTCCACGGGGATCCTTCCGCGGAGGGGCAGCACACCCGCTCACGGAGGGGCCCGGAACCCTCTCGCGGAGGGGCACGGAGGGTCCAAAGCGCATCCACAGAAGCTATTCAGGTAATCGTGCAAGCGGCTGTCGGAAGGGCAGCCAACCTCGCCATACGAACAGCTCCCCCGTGTCACACGAACGACTCACCAACATCATCATTACCATCATCGTCATCATTGTCATCGACATCACCATCGCCCCTGGCGGGCTCACAGACTTCGAACACGCACCAAAATCCCCAAAACAGCCGAGATGTCACCGGTGACGGCGTCAAGCACCTTGCTCCCAGAACCCCCCAGACGGCCCTACGAAAAGCGCGTGTGCAACGGCTCTCCGAAGACGGGAAGTACAAGATGTCACAGGTTAGGGTCTCCGTGCGACCTTGCGCGCGCACCACCGAGATTTCTGGGCTGGCACGGTTGCGGGCCCTGCCGCAAGCAGCTGGATAGATTTCCTTAATTTACATTGCCGGCGACCGAACATAACACAGTGGGTGTGCACAGGTGGAACGTAGTAACTTTCCAGAACTTCCTTGGCATGTACGGCGAGAGGTTGAAATAAAAGCAACAGCTGCACGGATGGAGGGCCGTTCTCCTTGGAGGCCTGTTCTTTCTCAATAAGGGGATCTCGCTGAGCTTTCGCTGTCTGCTCCTGACATTTCGTAGACCTCATAGCTAGAGGGGTGCAGGGCAAGTGCGCTTGTTTGATAGTCGGACGGGGGTGTGGCATCAAGGGGTATGGTGCCAAGCGTGGAAAAGGCGATGCGATCTGCGATCGATAACATTTTTCGCCACCCTTCGCGAGGATCGTGGCCCCCGAGGGGGGAGCCGCAATCGACTACCTCCCCCCTCTCACCCCAAAAGGCCCCCTAGAGCCCCCCAAGAGGCCCCAGGGGTCCCCAAGACGCCGCCAAGGAGCCCCAAGATGCTCCCAAGAGGCCCCCAAGAGGCTCCCAAGAGCGCTCCAGAGCCGGCGGAATGAGCGAAGCGATTAAATAACATCGCCAGAATCCCCTTTACATGAAATTAGCACCTCTCCCCTTTTATACCATACCCCTTTCCTGCCTCCAGAGTTTTCAAGGGGGCCCAGGCCTGGGGGGCGATCGTCGTTCAACGGCTTCGTGTCGCGAAAGGACTGTGTGCAAGGATGGATGGGCAGGGGGCTTGGGACGGGAGGGTGTCTTTGAAGGGGCCCTGGGACACACAAATGTAGACACAGATATCAGGATTCCTTTATATGTCCTATATTTTCTGGGTTTTCGTCTTCCCCCCCACTTCCCATATTTTCCAATATTTTCTTGGGAGTCGACGATTACTTGTGTCTGTGTTTCTTTTCCCCTCCTGAGTCTTGTAGCATCGTTGAAACTTCCTTGGTTTGCTCTGGCCCTCCTCCTCCTCCTCCTCGAAGCCGTGGGCCTCGCAATCGACTCCGGCGTCGCGAAGGCGGGGCGGACCCAACAAAAAAAAACGAGGGGCCGCAGGCAGGACAGGAGAGCGCAGAGACGCTTTCTCTTGGCCAGCCGAAAAAGAAAGCTCTGTGGCAAGAAAATGAGAGCCGACGACGCAGAGACCAGGGCTGGACCTAAACGTTGTTTGTCGTTTTGTTTTCGTTTTGTTATACCTAGGCTCTGCCTAGAAGGGCTTTTTACTCGGTAAGCTTAAAGGGCCGGGCAGTGGGGCCCGCCCCGGGCGGTTCCCCCAGTATCCGCCCCGCGGTTCCCCCAGTTGCGCCCCCTGGGTTCACCCAGCTTAGCTTAGCTGAGCTTAGCTTCGCTTTACTAATCTCAGTTTAGTTTAGCTTAGCTTAGCTTAACCTTACCTTGCCTAGCCTAGCTTAGCTTAGCTTAGCTTAGCCTATATCATCTTAGCTTAGCTTAGCTTAGCTTAGCTTGGCTTAGCTGAGCTTAGCCTAGCTTAGCTCAGCTTAGCTTAGCTTAACGTAACTTAGCTTACCTTAGCCTAGCTCAGCGCAGCATTAGCACACGATAGCATAGCATAGCATATCATCGCCAAGCATATCACAGCATAGTATAGCAAAGCTCAGTCTAGCATATCATAGCATAGCATAGCATACCAGAGCGCAGCATCGCATAGCACAGCGCAGCATAGCATAGCACAGCACAGCACAGCATAGCATAGCCTATCATAGCATAGCATAGCATTGCTTAGCACAGCACAGCGCAGCATCGCATAGCACAGCACAGCAGAGCATATCATAGCATAGCGCAGCATAGCATAGCATGGTGTAGAGGTAGGTGTATATGTGGATGTAGGTGTAGGTGTAGATGTGTATGTAGATGCAGGTGTAGATGTAGGTGTATATGTAGGTGTAGATGTAGATGCGAGTCTCGCTGTTGATGTGGATGTAGATGTATATGCAGGTGTAGATGTGAATGTAGCTGTCGGTGTAGATGTAGATGCTGCTTTCCTAATGCTCCAACTCCTAGGTAGGGTCGCACTGGGATAAATGTTCGTCTTGCTCTACCTGTTTTCCTGTACTTCCCTGACAACACGAAAAACAAGGCACAGCCGAAGTCGAGCAAAACATCGTTTAGGTCCAGCCCTGAGACGCAGCAGCGGCACAACAACTCCCCGAACCGACCGAAGCGACCGCACATCTTGCTGCGACGCGGCCGAACTGGCCGAGTCGCGGACACTCTCGTACTCCTTCCTCCTTGCTGCTCCCCCTCCGTCTCCTCTTTTCCCATTTGCTTGTTGCCTCTCTCACCCCATCGTTCCCCTGCGTCCGTCGTTGCTTGCGCTGCTGGGGTTTGGGAACTACTTCGGAAGGATCGGGTGTCGCGTCGGCCTGCCTGGTGCAAGCAGCCTTAGAGGCGTCGATCCTGCAGGGGGGACCCAAGAGGAACCACCCCGGGCAGGCACAGAAACCCTCTTCGCTGCGACCCGTCCCCAGAATCGTCAAGGCGCCGAGTCTTTTACTTCTTCCATCCGAGTAAACAGTTGGAGGATCGCGCCGCATCGCCGATGCATCGCGCTGGTGCGTCGGCGATGCACAGGCGACGTCGACGGTGCATCGGCGACGTCGGCGTGGAGAAAATCTGGCTCCGTATCGCGCCACGTCGCCGATGCATCTGCGATGCGGTGCGATCCTCCGACCCGATGTATTCGGATCCACTCTGGGAGGCTTAGGCAGGAGGACGAGGAGGAGGAGGGACAGGGGGAGGAGGACGAGGAGGACCAGTTACAACCCAAGACGCATCAACGATGTTGCAATACACTCTTCCTCCAAATTCCTTCTACACATGTCCCTACAGAAATTGGTTTTCATTGCGGGAAAGGGCCCATCAGAAGACAACCGTCTGAGAATCCTGACTCAACGTGGCTGTTCCGTCCTGACAATCCGAACTGGTGCCAGAGCGCCGTTCCACGTCCTGACAATCTTAAATCGTGCCACGAACCCATTTCTGAGGTTTCGACCGTAGGTATCAATGAAACTGCTGCAAACTGTGATGACAAATGCGCGCGGGCCTACTGCTAGAGTCACATTCTGAAAAGGAATCGCATTCCGTATGTGAAGCTGTTGTAAACAGTTGAAGCGAAAGTGACAGGCACCGAGGAAAGAGCGACAGAGAGAGAGAGAACCACATTTTGAAAAGGAGCCGCCCTCCATCCTTGAAGCTGTTGCGAACTTCCAGACGAGTGTATGCGGCGCTAGGGCGGGGGCCACATGTTGAAAAGGAGCCGCCATCCATCCACGAAGATGCTGCCAACTCTGAAGATGAATGTGCGCGGCTCTGAAGCGAAAACCATCTTTTGAAAACGGCCCTACCCCCACACGTCCCGGGCGCGCGACAGGGAGGAGCTGGTTGCAAGAGAGAGGAATGGAGGGGGAGGAGGAGGGGGAGGAGCAGGAGGAGGAGGAGGAGGGGGGGGAGAAGGGGTAGAAGGAGGGGCAGGAGGAGAAGGGAGGGGGAGGGGCAGGAGGCGCAGGAGGAGGAGGAGCCCAGTCCACATCCTGTGCCCGGTGCCCCCTTCCTCGGCCCCCGCTGCCGCTCCCCACCGCCGCCACCAGGGGCGGCGTCGGTGAACAGCCGTACCTACATACATAGAGACACGCACGCATACCCTACGTCGCAATACATTACAGTACCTTACCCTACGTTACATTACACTACATTGCATTACACTACCGTACATTACATTACATAACATTACACGACGTAACATTACATTACATGGCATCACCTTACCCCACATTATACTACATTAAAATACATGGCATAACATTAAGTTAACTTACATGCCGCTGCATTACATTACGTGACACACTATGCCATTCCGTTCCATTCGTTTACACTAACTTACCCACCTTACCTTACATTACACCACATTTTACGGCATTGCACTTCATGACATTACATTACACTATATTCATCTACATTGCGTTCCATTACACTATATTACTATACTTTACACTACGACGAACTAGATCACATTACATCACCGTATTTTACATTACACGACACGACATGATTACATCACATTACACTACATTACAACGCATTCCATTACACACCCTTACGTTTCACCACGATCACAATGTATTTGTCGACCTAGATTGCATTACGTTAGACTCCACTACACTAGAACACATTACGTGACAGTACATTACATTACATTCCACTACATCCTAGTCCATTACAACGCATTCCAATACATTACGCTCCATTCCACTACATAACATTACACTGCCTTACCTTGCATTGCATTTCTTTCCATGGCAGTACGTCATATGATATTACATTACACGACTTCACATTACATTACAATCCATCACATTTCAATACCTTACCCTACATTACACGACATTACTCTACATCGCATTAACCATTAAATTACATTAAAGTACATTACACTACAATCCATGACATTACATCACATTCCAACACAATACATTACATCACAGTACACTGCATTACAATACAAAACATGAAATGACAATTTATTACATAACATTCCGCTACATTACATTAAATTCCATTACACTACATCCCAATACTCTCCATTCCAGTACATGCCGTCTGGATGCATCCATATATATATATATATAATGATTGGTATGTATATATATATGCACACGCCGATCTCCTAGGACCCCCGGGGGGAAGCATAGGAGGCACTGGCCCAAATCTCCGACGACGTGCCGCTTCCTTCCCGGCGCTGCTCCTCGATCTCGGCCCTCTGGAGCTCGCTGATTTTTGGGACCCGTGGCGAGGAAGTATGGACCCGCGGCGAAAAAAATGATGCTGGCCATGGCATGGCAATGCGGACCTCTGGTGCCGCCAACTGACAAAAATCATGTCGGCGGATGTCTGGGAATGTGGACATGCTTGAGCCCAGGGGGGGAGGCAAAAACATGTCCACATCCACCGCCTCCAGGTCCGGGTCCAGGAAGATGGGGTCCCCGGGGCAGTGGACAGGCACAGGTTACACGGCTTCGGGAGCGAGGGAGGGTGAGCTTTTTGGCTCAGACCTGGGGCTCTAAAATCCGAGAACCTCTGCAGCCCTGGAAGTGCACGCTCGCCGGCACCCCTCTCATCTGGGACTCCCCCGCGTCGAAAAAATGCTGCAGCACGGGAGCGCTCGTGAGAGCCTGCGGCCCTTCCCCACGACGCCCGTGCCTCCGCCCGCCCCAGCCGTTGCCCCCTCCCCCCTCGCCCCTCCCCCCCACACACCCCGCCCGGCTCCCAGGCCGGCGCCACGCTCACTTCGACATGTCGGCCTTGGGCAGGATGAACTGCAGGCCCAGGAAGGCGATGATGGGCCCCAGGAGGACGGCCACGAGCGCACCCAGCTTGAGAACGACCTCCACTGGGTCGGCCGCCTTCGCCGCGTGCGCCGCCGTTGGCACGGCCGCCGCCGCTGCCCCGAGCAGCGCTGCGTGCTGCGCGGGAGCACCGCCAGAGGGCACCCTGGCCAGGATGCCTGGCGATGCCCACGACCAGGATGTCGCGGGATCTTGTCGACGCCGATCTCGGGCATGGTCCGTGCTGGTCGTCGCCGCCTCGCGAGGCTGGACCAATAGTGGACGACGTCCGAGATCGGCACCGAAGTGTCCGCGTCCAATCTTATGTTGCTCCCATCGCACTCGAGGGCCACATCCCCGAAACAATGTCGAGCACCCAGAAAAGTATCGAAACAGTGCCGAAAGAGTACCGCCTCCCAGGGACCGACACATGGGAACCCTCAAGTTTCTGTACGTTCTTGGTGCCCGAATTTTGATCCTGGCGGTCAAGGCAGAAGTCGGTCGGAGCATCATAAATTCAACCATGGTCATGGTCCTCGCTTTCTGTCCCGCCATGCCCGCTGTCTCGCCGCGCTGCACCGGCGAGGGCACGAAGGTGACCGTTACAAACGCGCCCGTGGCCAGGAGCAGCGCCACGGGCAGCAGCCTAGAGCGTGCAGCCACCATCTCCGCTTCCGCTTCCGCTTCCGCTTCGGGCCAGCGCTCTCAGGCAAAGACCGGGAGGGCGCAGAGGCGCAGCAAGGTGGACCTGAGCTCGAGCCCCAAATGCCGACTCCAGAAACAGGAGCCTCGTCCTCCTCCTCCTCCTCCTCCACCTCCTCCTCCTCTTCATCCTCCTCCTCCTGCTCCTCCTCCTCTTGCTCCTCCTGCTCCTCCTCCCCCTCCTCCTCCTCCTCCTCCTCCTCTGCTCCCCACCCACCCTCCTCTCCCCCTCCTTCTCCTCCTGCTCCTCTCCTCCTCCTTCTCCTCCTCCTTCCCTCCGCCTCTCCTCTCCCCCTCCTCCTCTCTCCTCCTACTCTCCTCTCCTCCTCCTCCTCCTCCCTCCCCCTCCCCCTCGCCCCGCCCTCGCCCTCGCCCTCGCCCTCGCCCTCGCCCTCCCCCTCCCTCTCCTCCTCCCTCTCTCCTCCTCCCTCCTCCTCCTCCTTTTTCTTATCCTCCTCCTCTTCTCCCCCTTTTTTTTTCCCCTCTCTCCTCCTCCCTCTTTCTTTCCCCCCTCCTCCTCCTCTCCTCCTCCTTTCCTCATCTCCTCTTGCCTCCTCCTCCTCCTCCTCCTCCTCCTTCTCCCCTTCCCTCCCCCTTTCTTCTTCGCTTCCTCTCTCTCGCTCCTCCTCCCCTCCTCCTCCTCCCTCCGCTCCTCTCCTCTCCTCCTCCTCCTCCTTCCTCCTCCCCCTCCTCCTCTCTCCTTTCTCCTCTCTCTCCTCTCTTTCGCTCTCTCCTCCTCCTCCTTCATCTCTGTCTCTCTCTCTCCTCCTCCTCTACTCTCCGCCTTTCCTCGTTTCTCTCTCCCACCCTCCTCCTCCTCTTCCTCCTCTCTCCTCCTCCTCTCTCCTCTCCTCTCCCCTCCTCTCCTCCTCCGCATTCCTCTTTCAGCCATCGTCTCCTCCTCCTCCTCTCCTCCTCCTCTCCTCCCTCCTCCTCCCTCCCCTCCTCCTCTTCCTCCCCTCCTCCTCCTCTCCTCTCATCCTCTCCTCATCCTCCTCCTCATCCTCATCTCCTCCTCCTCATCCTCCTCCTCCTCCTCCCTCCTCCTCCTCCTCCTCCTGTCCTCCTCTCTCTCCCCCCTCCTCGTTCCTCCTCCTCCTCCCCTCCTCCCCTCCTCCTCCTCTCCTCCTCCTCCTCTCCTCCTCCCTCCTCTTCCTCCTCCTCCTCCTCCTCCCCCCGCGCTCTTCGCGGGGGCCCTCCCCCCCCCCTGGGAGCGTCTCGCGGCCCCCGTTTTTCGGGCAGCTCCCCCGGCCTCGTGGCCTGGAGCCTTCGGCCTCCCAGACGGGATCCGAGCAGATGCGGTCGGAGGATCGCGCCGCATCGCCGATGCCCGATGCCTCGCAGATGCATCGGTGATGCACTGGCGATTCACCGGCGATGCCCCGGCGACGCACCCGCGACGCGTCGGCGATGCCGGCATGGAGAAACTCGGGGTCCGCATCGCGCCGCATCGCCGATCGCCGATGCATCCGCGATGCGTCGCGATCCGCAGAACCTGTCTGCTCCGACCCCGCATGGGAGGCCTGGAAGAAGCCCTGGACCCCAGAACGGCTCCGCCTCACTCTCACCACCGCCACCCACCGCGGACCTGCCGCCGGCGGGCCCGCCGCCGTCTTGCCTCCACCGCCTCCCGCTGGCCCTCCGCCGACGGCGAAAGGCATGGAAAAAGGAACCGGTCCTGGAGCGCCCTTGAACGGGAACCCATCGGCCGGAAGGAGTCGGGAGATACATGAAGTAGGGAGGCGTTAGAAGTAGATGGGGTATCCGCCCGCCCCCTGAAGAGGGAGGAGAAGGTGAAACCACTCGATCATGGAAGGATTGGGATCCGAAAACCCAGAACTACCTACTCTCAACGGCCGGTGTGTATGGGTCAGGGAGGGGGGCTTTCGTTGAGCGGGCGCCCACGCTGCGACCCTATCGAGGGGAGAAAGGGTCAACCACACCAGGGGCTCACTTCTGCAGAATCCGGAGGACGCCCCAAACGGGGCCAGAGCGGATGGGGTCGGAGGATCGCACCGCATCGCCGATGCATCGGCGATGCGGCTCGATTCAGAACAATATTTCCTCCATCCCGACGTCACCGATGCATCGCCGATGCGGCGCGATCCTCCGACCCCGCCCACTCTGGCCCCATATGGGCGGCCTGGGAAACATTATGATGCCCCCGCCCCCCCGCGGGGTAACCTCCGGCAGTCTCAGCATTACTTCCGTCGTCCCATGCCTCGGGAGGACGTGCCGAATGCCCCATGTCGCAACTTCCCGAAGAGGCGCACGCCCTGTCCAAACGATGAAGGTTCCTTCCGCGCGAGTCTGCCTAACGCCAGCCATGCGTGTGCAAGATTCCTCGCGTCTTTTCGCCTTTTCGTTTCTCTCCTCCTTGTCCTCCTCCTTCGCTCGCTCCCCCCTCTTGCCTGGGAGGCCGATAGGGAATGGACACGGCGGGCCCGCCATGGCCCTGGAAATATCCACTGCACTAATACACTCACTCGGCACGTACTGATGTAATCAGAAGTCTGCGGCGCGGTCCACTGTGCTGGCGGGGAGCCCGCGGGGTCCGCTGGATCCGGGTGGTCCGAATCATCGTCGCTGCTGTAATCGGCGGCGAGCGAGGGGGGGGGAAAGTGAGAAGGAGCAGGCCTTCTCAGAAGGCTCAGAAGTCACTAAGCCTTTTGATCAGTTTTCCGAGCCATCCCCGAAGACGCAGAAAACTTGTCAGAGGGCGCGAGGGCTTCTGAAAGGTCCCGCCACCTTCTGAGAAGGCCTTCTCCTTCTCACTTCCCTCCCCCCCGGGCTCGCCGCCGATGAAAGGAGCGGCTCCTGCGGCGCACGTTTCTCCGCTCGTCCGAAGGATGGGCGCCCATTTTCTCCACCTCGAGCGTGGAGTGATCAGGCCCGTGGCGGTCTCCTGCTTTTGTTTCGGGCGTTGGCAGAACTGGGTTTAGTGGGACATGGTTTAATGACGTGTGCTGGGGGACGCCCCCCTCGCCCCGTCCCACTAACCAGAACTGCCGTTACCGGAAAAACACCAGCTACGGCAGACCTGGTTCAGTGATTCTGGCCAATTTAGGGGCTCTGGGGCCCTACCACTAACCGGGTCCCCTTACGGGTCCTGGCTATACCCGACTGATGCGGGGCTGGGGGTCCTTCAAGGGCAGGCGCACCGTACTATGGTGGACCGGCAGAGCGGGGCAGCCGCGACCTCGGACACACACACACACACACACACACACACACACACACACACACACACACACACACACACACACACACACACAAACACACACACAGCACGGCACATCCGCATATCGCAAGCGCCGTCCCTCCTGAAGGGCCCACATGGTACTCCCTGGCGGTGCTGGCGGATGGGGAAGGGCGCGGTCCCCTGCCAAGGGCAGGGCATCCGCAGAGCTGGCGCGGTCTGGCGCGGGACCGGCGGAGCGGCAACGGGGCGCGGCTCCCCAGGAATCACCAGGTCTCCACACGACGGGCGCGGTCCGGCGCGGCCGCCCAGGGGAAGGGGGGGGCAAGTGGCACGGCTGGGAAGGGCACGCTTCCCCGAGAGAGGACGGGGCATTCGCCCAGCTGGCGCGACCTGGGGGGCGGCCTCTCGGCACTGGTGGCCAAGAGGTTCCAACTGCTCCGTGCAGTGGAATCGCATGCGAACAAGGGATCCGCACATCACTGCAGGGCGAGGAGGAATAGGGGGAACGGAGGAGGATCATAGCCATTGGGGAGTGGCGTGAAAGAGCAATTGCAGCACTGGGGATGTTGCTGGATGTCCGCGGCCGCGGAACTGACAGCAATGATTCAACCATCGATTTGCCAGGAGACGTGTTACAACTGTGGAGAATAAAAACAAACCCCGCACTACTTGTCAACGAATGCGTGTTCCAGTGACGTTTTCTCCTGCCCCACTCGCGCACGCTGACTCCACGAAAGCAGCTGATCATGTACACTCGTTTCCTGGACTTCGCTGAACAATAACAGAGCCTGCTGCGGTCGCACCCCTCTTTCGCAAGCACTGAGCCCAGAGTTGTAACCGAGGATATCCAATTTCACCCTCGCCTGACATACCTTGTTCATCAGTGATAACGCATGTTGCCACTGACCACCTTTCTCGCAAGCGCTGATACAAGCGTTATAGCTGATCGCGTTCGGTTCGACTCTCATGGCGCGCATGTCATCGAATAGCGTCAGCGCCTTTAGCCACTGCCCGCATTTCTCGCAAACGCTGATACCCGCACTGTAGCTGATCACATTCGGCTCCATGCCTGTCTCCAAGAGCACAGCGAGCAACGACAACGCCTGCTGCCACTGCAAGCCTTTTTCGCAACCGCTGATCCCAGAATTGTAGCTCACAGTGTCCGGCTGCACCTTTGCTTCCTTCATTTCGCTGATCAGAGACAACGCGTACTGCCACCAACCACCCTTTTCGCACGCGCGGATTCCAGCGCTGTAACTGACGACGTTCATTTCTACCTCAGCTTTGCGAATCTCGCTGAACAGCGACAAAGCCTGCTTCCACTTCCCTGCTTTCTCGCACGCGCTCACCCCCGCACTATAGCTGATGATACTGGGTTCCATTGTCTTGGCCAACTCGTCTAGCAACGACAGGGCATGCTGCCACTGCCCGCCTTTCTCGCACGCGCTGATTCCACAATTGTAGCTAACAGTTAACCCATGCTGAACCATACGATAAAATTTTCTCGAATGGATCGATTGTCCTCTTGGCTGCTTCCGTGCCGTCCCATACGCTTGCGTGGCTGCTAGTCTGCTGGTCTATCATGCTTGTTGCCCGCTTACAGGCTCGCCAACATCCCTGCTTTCGTGTTTGATCACAAACCCGCTGTCGGCTGCTTAACCCACTAGTTTTTTTGAACATCCCCCCAATAGTTGGAACGGAATTATCTGTTCGGCGCCCTTCTTGGCAGACTGGGCTCTCAGCAATAATGCGACTCAAACAT